GCATGGGTGAGGAGCTGCAGACAATAGAAGTAAAGCAGATGGTCTGCTTGCCACATTAATTAGTCAATCGTGTGATTTTTAAATCGGTGAAGCAGCAGCATTCCAGTACCTGTGATGTGCTTCCAGCAGTGATACACTGACACCGCCGTAAACGCTCATGGGTTCTAATATGTGCATCTTTCTACATATCTGACTTCGTTTCAAGTTGAGTTTGGAGGTAATGTTTTGATAAAGTGCAATGCAAAAAAACAAAAAAAAATGTTGCTTGCAATGTGTTCTTGTTTTAAACGCACGTCTCGAGAATTATCATCATGATGAACTCGCACCAGCTCGTCTGCACCAGAACTATTTTTTGCTGATGTGTGTTGTGCGTATCTTTCACTGCTAACTCTGGTACCTTGTGTTTCCAGAAAACTACCAGTACCCTCATCCGGAACACATCACAACATGAGAAGATGATGTGAAGAAGTGGCCAGAGATTCGTTCGAGGAATATAGTTTGCTATTTACTGGACACAAAAGCATCAATCTGAGAGAGGCGAAGGCATACAAAAGTTTAGATGCTTATAACTATGTGCTAAGTGGCTGGGTGGGGCAGCTCCTCATCCACGAAATTGACAGAGGCCTCGTGCTCCTGAAGGCCTGTGTACAAGGTTCACAGTCGACAAAGAAACTGAACAACTCTTGAATCGGTGCTAAAAAGGACGGTGAAGTATTGATCAGTGCTCTGCTGGGTGATCACATACCCATCCCGAACAGAGAGATCTGGTCTTGCTCCTCAGGTCATGCCGACCTCCTTAGAGAGAAATCCTGGGGAACCCCCATTGTAGGAATGACTGTCCCACATCCAATGGAGTATCTGAATGTGGTGGCAAGAGGAACATCAAGCTGTAATGGATGCTCCTTGCTCGGAAGATTGTTTGACTATGTCACAGTTTGCTACTCTAGAGGGTTTAGCAACGATGTAGAAATACGGGGACCATTACCAGCTTACTTGGGATCTCTTACAACTGAAAGCGCTAAACTTTTCCACCCTTAGAAAAAGGAATCCATCGTCCCATTGGTAGACCGTGCACCCAGAGTTTGTTCGGCCATAAACTGGTTCGTGGAACCAGAAGATGGGATCGCCAAGAGTATCTTGAATAACTTGAGTGCCTTGACGGGAGAGGACGAATAGCGCGTGCCACTGTCCCTATTTGCTGACATGAATGGGGTTAGTTTTTGGAGGCACTGTTTTTGGTGTTGGTGAAATGAACGAGCATGGTAAAAAGCAAGATGAAAATACAAAAGCCACTCTGCTTTTGTATTTGAGACTGGAAACAAACACCTGGTGAAACTTGTAACTGGAGCCAATGCCGTCCCTAGCCAGATTGTGGAACGGGTGATCATGGCACAGCAGTTGGATTCCTTCCTGGCCTCACACTCTTGCCCGAGAGCTTCAAAGACGTGCGACCAAATGCTGGGCTACCCTAAGCCATTAAACTCCGTTTCCGTAGGTGATGTTGGCTTGCCTGGGTGCCCTAAAAGACTGATCCTGTCTCTGGGAATCAGATTGGCTCTTGCAGAGTATGTAGAAGAGTGCCCTGACCTTGCCGCTGAGTACCAAAGATTTGTCCACAAAGGGCAAATTTTTTGCAGCAGGGCAAACAAAGAACCTCTCAAGTCTGAATCATCTGTGGTCAAGAAGCATGACCCAGAATATTGGGTTATCCAGAAGATCCTGAGTGTGGGATCTAGGGTATTCCTCATTTGTGACAAGAATGTGATCCCTAAAAGTCAGCTCTTTCCCAACAACATAAAGGAATGCTTCCCATCCAGGGTGGGAATGGTACATGTCATTTCACCATCTTGACGTTCCAGATGTGAGACATGAATTTGCTATGTCTTAGATATTTGTGCTGCTGCGAATTCTGCTTGCAATCTTACTCGGTACTTGCTCTTGCTGGGGATACTAGCCTCACTTTCGAGCAGGACTTCATTCACTCTTGTGCATGTCAGTTTTGGTATGTCCCATGGGTCTTCATAGCTTAGGATGGGATTGGGGTAGAAATTTTATCGAGAATACATTTAGTTAGTGCTTATATACTGTATAACCAACTTAATGTTTAGTAGCATGTTCACACTAGCACTACCACTATCAACTAGTGTATTTTGATGCCATTTCAGTTTTTTTATTTAAGTGCTGAAAGAATTTTGAGAGTATATGCACCAGATCTTGTGACAGTGCACACTAGATTCCAACTTGAAATCTTTTCATTTTTAGTCACTTCTGACGAGATTCATGAATCAAGTACCGTGACTGTGCAGCATCAGGATGATGACATTCAACATGCATCAACTCTCACATCTCGGGAAATCTGCGAGTGAACTTGGGCCAATTTTGGGCTCATTCGATCAGCCTTTCTTTCTGAATCTGGAAATAAAAGGCTTCTGAAGTGTGTCACAGCTGTCAAGGGTGTGCCTATGCAGATTTTGGAATGCCTACCCTACTGAGAACAACAATTTCAAAACAGTTTGGATATTAAGTGACCAAAGAATGAACTGGTTATAGTGAAATTGTACCAGGCAAATTGGAAATCAAACTGTCAAAACTGGCCGAACTTGGAAAATGAACTGGCGAAGCTGGCAGCTGAACTGGCTGAACTGTTACTTTTACAGTTCAAACTGGTAGCTAACCAGGCAAAAGTGGTAGCTTGAACTTGTGACAATGCTGTCAATGTTCAAGCTGGCAGCCAAACAGTTTGAACTGGGAGTCGAACTGTTCAAACTGGCAGTCAAACTACTCTAACTGGCAGTCAAACTGTTCTAACTGGCAGTCCAACTGTTCTAACTGGCAGTCAAACAGTTACAACTGGCAGTGAAAATGGTCTCACTGTACCTAAACAAGTCATGCTAGCGTAACTGGAAAAAAAGCTCATTGAGCTGGTCAAGCTAGAAGTAAACCCAGTTTAAAATAATGAACCGATGGAATCAATCTAATTGGCCTTTTTCGTTTGGATCAAGTTGGTTTCACCAGTCAGTGCAGCCCTCGCGTGCTCGCGGCACAAGCGTTGAGTATGCGTGAAGGCAGCTCCAGGAACTAAAATAGAGGAAAATTGGCCTGGCGTGACGGCCTTTTTTTGTGCTGCTGTTTTGCTTGGAGTGGTTACAAATTCTCTTCAAGCTGTGTTTGTTTAAGATAGTTTGCCAAAGCCTTGAGTGCTGCCCCTGCCAAAGGTCCCTGTGGCCTGATGACGTCCTCCAAGGACTTCATGGTGCATCTTAGGGCAGTGTATACCTCCACCTGAGTTCCACTCGCTCGTGGGCAAAATGGCTGCATCCTAGAACGGTTTGTTCGGAATTTGCTCCGTCCTCATTACAGCATGGGCAATGGCTGTCTCCATCTCCGTGCCAGCAAGCCAGGTAATCAGGCTCAATCCCCCGCCCCAGAAGCCCGATTTGGATTCATTTTCATCATCAGATGCGTATAAAAGTGAACCTTTCAGCAACCCGATTTGGAACAGATATGCTAACGATTCAATCGCCTGTGTACATGCAGCTTCAGAGATCCCCTATTACAGTAGTTGCGAGTTGCATAGCAGATGGCAGACCGGGGAGGCAGGAAGGGGGTAACAAAAGCAGGGTCTTTTCACTCTTGGGCTTTGCTTTGCATAATTGCCACAAGACTGGCACCACATGTAGGATTGGCACACACTTCCATATTCCCTCTTATACTGTTTATGATAATGCATATTGGTTATTCGTGACATTAGTAACATACCCTTTTAGAACAAACGGGTGTAAATAAATCTGCCATGGTTCTAATTACTGACATTTATTTCTCTTTCAGACGCCCTGGGGTACTGTGTCAGCCACCACCGGAACCCCGACACTCCAGAAGCAGTGGAGGATCTTGCCAACTGGCTGGGACACATGAATAATATCATGACAAGTTTTTTATTATTATTTATGTTAATTTTTGCGATCTGAAATATGTGTATCTTTTGTGCGGACATGATGCAAATTTTACCAGTTTACGACCTGCGTTGTCAATATGGCCAGTTAAACTGGTTTAACTGCATGGAGTGGACCAGCATACACAGTTGTACAGTATTACCAGTATACACACTTTTCACAGTAACACCGGCAACCACAATTTCACAGTAAAATCAATGCACAGTTTCAGTTTGTCCAGTTCAACCAATATAAGCAGTGACAATAATCCAGTTTGAACTGGCCCCGTTTGCAAACTTTTTCAGTAGGGTATGTATAGCACAAGGAGTGTAATTGCTGCCTTTGACACGAAGTGTCTTGCCACAAGTAAAGGCGGTGTGTGATGAAATGTCAAAGTACCGGCTTGTAGAAGTGGTCTGTGAGGTTGAAGGAGGCACAGTGCTTGGCGAGGCCAAACGGGTTTGCGACCTGTCGCTTGTGGAAAAAAACGCGCTTGTCAAGCCCTGCTGGAAAAAAGAGCTAAAATCTCATTCATTTTTGCACCAAAACCAATGTGCATGAATGAGCAACCCGATGAAACTTGAATGTGAAATTACCCTAGAAACCCACAAGCTGAATATAGAAAATGAGACAAAATGGATATGTATTTCGATGCGAAAATGAATGTGCCCGAATGAGCAAAATAGGCAGACTGCCATGAGCGGTTATGTGCTTTGTAAGGAGGATTCAATCGTTTTGAATGAGAATGCAGGATAGAAACGAATAAGCATCAATGAGCTGAAGAAGTGAAAATCCAGCAGCAGTAATGTGAAATTTTAAGGGATTTGTATGTTATGCTCATTGAATTTTTAATATTATTTCAATGGCAGAAAATATCGCGGGAAAGGTCTACTGTAGCTGCTTTTAATGCGGCAAGCACACTAAAAAACAGCTACAGCAAACCTACCTTGCGGCGAAGTGAGAGACACTCCAGTGTTGAAACACAAATTTTACTTTTCTGAAATAATACATGTGGAAACATAGGAAGCGTCGTCCTTGACAAGCATAGTTCCAGAGACACTTGGTCCGTTATTCTTGGTCAGTACCTAGCGCATGCCGCACGTCACGGCCCAGGTCACGTACGGCGCTGTATATGTGTGTGGTCATTGCTGCCATCCGCTCAGCCAACACATCGCCACTGGCGCCATGTTCACGTAGCCAGTCCTCATAGCATGCTGGAAAAAAAAATGCAACTATTAAACTCTGCATAATTTTGACAGAGAAATTTGTAATATTTAAAACAACCTAAGTGTGGGGTAATTTTAATCTTGCAGTATGCAGATATCTTTTTATCTTTTATATAAATAAAAAAAATGAGATACGTCTATCCTTTAGTTTATATTTGTGGGCATGACGGACATAGACGGCTGGATAACTGTCAGAATATGTCGACAAATTACAAATATATGGCAATTAACTTTTTATTTAGTGGTTTAATGAGGCATGTTGCAATCAGGCACGTAGCCAGGATTTTGTTTTGGAGGGGGGGGGGGGGCGCCCATGACAAATTGATGCATGAGGGGGAGGAGGGAGAGGAGGTCCCAACAAAATGTAAGATTTCGGGGGGGGGGGGGGGGGGGGGTGGCGGGCCTCATGGGGGCCCCCCCAATATAGCCATTATTACAGGCTAACCCAATTTCGACAATTCGTAAAAATTTGTCGCTTTGAAACGTTCATTGTTAAAATTTTCTTTTTCGTTGCCTAACTCAAGAACTGCGCACCAAAAAGAATCTGGGAAGTTTTGCCGATAATGGTCCATAGAAAAGTGACAGTTGTTTTAGTCATCTCGTCACTATCTGTACAGCATATCCTAGGTAGTTGCTCCACAGTCAACCACCAATTGCAACATGCCCATTAAACCATTTTTTAACAGGTTTTGGTTAGTTAGTCAATACAGGTGATGGTTATCCACCCATGTAAAAATTATGGAAGAAAAAATGCCCTGCATATTTAAAAGATGCCTAGTTAAATGCATGCAACTTTTACCGAAAAAAATCTAGTGCACTACTGTGAAATATAATATACCAAACAGGTAAAAATAAATGTTCAAAAGGTTCGATACGCTGCACATTATTTCGTGTAGTATTTTTTTTAGTAACATCTCCAAAATCTCCATTTGTTGGTTATATTAATCTGTTGCTTCTTCTTCACCTTGTAGTCAGGTCATGAGAAATATGGCGGCCCTGTTGAATGTAATCAGTTAGTGATAAAACGGAGTAAACACGGAAAGTGCCGTAAACTACAAGCTACTCACCTTCTAGCACATTAAGTTTTGTTGGAGTCAGTGGTGGCTTCGCAGCACCTCCATCATTTATCAAACGGTTAGACACCTTGCCACTCGTAGATCGATTTTTCAAAATATTGCGTCCCCATATGGCAGTAGCCAGACTCCTCACAAACTTGGACTCTTTTTTTTGTCGCTGACAGGCGACCCATTGGTCCAAACTAAGGGTAACACTGTCATTTACACAGACCTGCAAATGAAGCAGAGCAATGGATATAAATAAAAACAATAAAGGCTTCATTTGTAATCCTACGAAGCTGTTGGAAATGACAGCAAGTACACAAACTTCAAATTAACCGACAGTTCAAGCCAGCTTTATTTCATGACCACAATCTTAAAACATTGATCGGCCATTTTCTAATTGCAGATTTTAAGAGCAGATATAAATCTAGCTTGTGGCTTCTTTATAATTTTGTCCTTTCCAGTACTTTGTCAAAATATTAAAAAAACTAAAACGGCAACCACAGGCTATAAAAAATTTGCTGCATCAGCTTACCGTTCTTCCGTCAGTTCTGAGTTTAGCCTTCTTCACGATATCATGCTTGGTGTTTGCATTTATTGAGCATCCTTGACGGCGCAAAAAAAAGAAAAAAAAAAAAACTAAGTTAAACATTTTAAATCACCATGGTTGTCTTAGGCTTTTTTTTTTTTTTTTGTAAAATTCATGCTTTAGAAGGAAAGAGATACGCACCTGCTCCAGTGCTCTCGAGCTTTGATTTGATGCTGTTTACACCCTCAAGAATCACATCCAGAATGTCTGTGTTTTTGGCCTCTCTTGTCCGCATCTTTTCAACGTCTTCCTTAAGTTCCCTTGTAGTTTTTTTTAGGGCAAGATACTTCTGATGGAGATCGTCGTACAACTTTTTGGGAACAACAGCACCATCATCCCCACTGTCTGTATCACTGTGGCTTTCGTACCTGGCATGCTTGGCACTCCGAGCCTCTGGGAAAAGTGGGTTCTTGCGCTTCTGAGACAACTTTTCTGAAATTATTTGCTTCATCTTTGCTGTTGCTTCTCTTGTACGATTCAATTTCTGCTGAGCCTGCACTATTACAAGCACCATGTAGGGAAAGCTCCAGCATCTTTTGATTTCATTGGCGGTCACATTTTCATGGACACTCTTGTCAAAATAATAATTGTAATTTACACCAACATTTCTTTGCTCTGCCAAAGAAAAATTTAGTATATAATTGCAATAAGGATTTCTTCCAATACAATTTATGTTTTCAATCACAGCAAATTATATAGAAAATTAGTAATTTTTGTGTAAAACTCAATTATGCAGTTTCTTAAATGAAATTTTAGAAAGAAAATCAGGTGACGGATTGTCTGGGTGCTATTCTCACTGCATTACTGCACTCGGCTTATCAAGCCTTTGAGAAACATCACTAGTATGTTGACTAATTAACGAAAATCTGTAAATTAACTGTTTGGGGCTATGTTGCAATTGTAGTTAAGCAAACCATTGTTAGGGTACTATCGAATTGAAACAATCTGCAAAAGGGCAACAAGCTTTTAGATATTCAGAGCTGAAATTACGCCTTTTGTGTCCTGGTTAAAAAACTGCATACTGGAAGGAGCGCGTTATGTTGCGCTCACATAGTCGTTTTGGTCTGGCTTGCGGGTTTTCAGTCAAGCCATGAAAGGCAAAATTTATATCTAAAAACTTGTAGCCTTTTATAAATTGTTCAAATTCGGCAAGGCTTTAATAATTCTTGTAGATTTTGGAAACAAGTCCTTTGTCTGTAAGCTGCCAAATAGATTTGAACGAGACTGAAGTTGCACGAGTTTTTCTTTTTTTGTGTGATTTCATTTGTAGTTCCTATACATTTTTGGGGAAAATTCCTTAGAAACTACAATTACCTAGTGCTCAAATGACTTAGAAATGGAGACTGGTATGTACAGAATTTTGTGTTCTAGATAGCTTATTATTTTACAATTTCTTTTGCTCTTCATAGCTGATTTGATGTTCATTATTGCTGTTTTATCCTTGCCTTTGTCACATGTAATATGTATACATCATTGAGTGTGTTACTTTGTCAATAACTTTTTTCTGTTATTTTCTTGATAGCCTTAGTAACATGTGTTTGTTTGCATGGGTGGCGTGCACGTAAGTGAAACACAAGTAAATAGTTCTCAACAGTTCAGTGAAAGTAAAATTTGTTGTAGTTTGTAGTTGTAAACAGTCAATTGAACTAGTGCAGTTTGATTGTGACCTGGGGTCTTTAACATGCATCATTCAGTAGTGATTACACAATTACATGTCGATCAATGCTTCCTCAGGTGAAACAAGCTACTATTCTGCTCTACAATATTAAATAAAATGAAAAATTTCACATTTACCCTGAAGAGCCATAGCTTAAGCACCTCTCTTCTTATAGCTGAACTAAAATACTTAACACATTTTATGTTATGTTTTGTGTGAAGGTTTTGTACGGGCGATTACATTATGTTACTAAGCTTGCTGTGTGAACGCTTCGTATATCCTGGTAGTGGTACAATTCATTCTTTCTTATCGTTGGTAGCTCAGAACACACGCAAAAATTAAGCGAACGGAAAAAAAGGTCATCACATATGCTGTTTCGGTTTACTTCTGCGTTCTCTGTGTTCTGAAGTCTCAAACTGTTAAACGAATGTCAACTTCGTCTTTGCTTCTTGGATAATTTCACGTGCCGTACGTCTGAAAGCCACAATGCGTAAAGCAGATGCTGCAATCGCTCCATATTTCTGGAAAGGTCTATTCGCTAAGTTCGAAGCAAGCCAATCTGTATCATGCTGATCACAGTGGTGCTGGTATTAACTCGTGTAATGTCTCACTGCAGGTGCAGTTGTGGCCGGTGCCAGGTAATGGCCAGCCTCTGATGCATTGAGGTGGGGGAGGCTGCCGCCAAAGCCGGTGTCAGGTGCATCACAAGGCACAAGGACTTTTTCGGCGCAATCTTGATTCCCATCATCCTCAACGTCAAAAGGGCAGGCCTGCATAAGTTCGGCATCGATTCTACATTCTGCGGTCGCACGCTTGTGGGCCGCTTCCACAAGCATGTCTATCTGGACCCGTGGATATCCGCAACTGCGGCCCCTGGTGTCTGCATTCGATCCTCAATCCGCCAGATCTGATGCATTCTTAACTGCATCTGGCAGTTTCCTGCAAATATCCAAAGAAGATTTGTAGGTAATAGGTGCATATGCAGCACTCAAGTAATGACATATGTGTAAACTATGAAGGTGGGCTAGTTGGTTATGCATTTTACTAATAAATAGCATGAAGATCAAGCATACACTGACGGAAAAAGTGCTAAAAATATATAGTGCCTGTTCCGTCAGTGTGTACTCGACCTTCGCATTATTTATTAGTAAGAGGCATATGTGTAGAGTGACGCAGCACGTTACGATGCTGCATGGCATACGACGTGCGCAAAGCGCGTGTGCAAAGCTAGCGATGTTATCGCTTTCAGCGCAGGAACTAAAAATAAAGCTCACTTGAGTTTGGGGTTCTTGTCATGGCCGGTTGCTTCCTTGCCTACGTAACGGATTTTTTTACGGGTGTTTCTTACAAGTACCTTGTTCAAGAGTAGCAAACGCTATCTGGAATACACTGTGTCTAGCTAACGATCGTACGTTGTGGACGGCAACCGGACAATCCCTGGCAAACGTAGATAACCGGTGAGTAAAAATGCTTCCTTTGTCACTGCAAAGTGTTCTGCTGTTGTGTGTAGTTGTGTGCTTGCTAAGCTATGCTTGAATCCAGTAATGCTGCTGCCTGGGGTGGTTTGCTTACCACGGCAGAGTTTTTCTCAGCCACAAGGAAAGGGATTTTCCACGTATGTACGGACGACACAATACCTGACTTGGCTGCATGCCGTGAATGCATCTGGGCTTTGCTCACAAAAAGTCCGGTTCTGGGATCAGACGATTGCCAAGAGGCTTAAAATATAGCTGAATTGAACCGCATCATTGTACCTTGGTATAGGACTGCAATAGGACTGCTAGGAAAAGCCGTGTTAAACCAAATTTTAAGAAAAATAATATTGAAGGTAATGTTCGACGGAGTGGCTGTGATGGAAAAGAACAGTTTGGCTTGGTTGCCAGTTTGTAGATGCACACAGCTCTTCTCAGGTCCAGAAAGTTATCAATTCCCATTAACAGTTTTTTTTATGCTTTGAAAATTTCGTGGTACACATTGAGAGCTTCATTATTATTCTGTGTTTAAAAACGTTCTTGTTTATCAGTGCTATCTGAAGCTTTAAAGTTTAATGTCTTATTAGCCATTATTTAGAAGTGGGCTTTCGTTTAAGTTGCTTGTCCACTGATCCCAAGTTATCAGATTGTAAACCAGACCAAGGTGCCGGCAATTTGACTGAGGTTCATTGCGTTACAAGGTCCGTCTGGCTTCAGAATACCTGGGTGGTTGACATGAATCTTCAATGCTTTGCTCTTTATTTCTATTGGCCTATTATATGTTATTAGCTGTTGTGTAAAGTGATCGATGATTTCTTTTATCCCTTTTCTCTTCAGAAGTGGGTCTTCAACTCCTTCAGATGGTGCTGCAAGCCCACTCAACTTGTAGCCCAAGTACTAGAATGAAGTACTGAAAGCAGAGTTCGAGTGACTGTACATTCGTGGCCCTCAGGCAGCTAGAGCACCGGAATAGGCAATCACCGGAGTCCTTTATGCTCCAGTTCTTGAGGACATGTTGCTGTTTGAAACTACCAAGCCTCATGGACGCTGTTGACAGGATGCTGTTGGAATGCTGAATTTTATCCTTTAGTGGAATTAAGATTCGGACCTTTGAAATTATTTCTATAATACTGTCTTGTTCAATATCTGCTGAATATAAGCGGTAGATATACATCCTTATATTGGTCATGTCTTATGGACTGTTCACACACCACAGCTCTGCTGCACGATTTCGAATAAGGGTGAAGTTTTTAAGGTGACCGCATAAATCGGCCTAATAACATATCGCGCTACTATGTACCACAGAGGGGCCTGGAGGTGGTGGAAGCATTTTATACAAATTTCTAACAACAAACTTGCACGAGTAAAAATGGTTTTTCTCAACCTACCGCGCCTGTCTGCCAACCGGGCCCCTCTGATTAGTGTAAAAGTGGCTTACTGCAACTCGACAGCCGCCCGGTGCGTACCGTGCCTCCCATAGGGACCCTGGGATTTGCAAGCGGCATCCAGCGTCAGCTGGATGCCGCTTGGGGTTTAGAGGCCCTCAAACATGACAGGAAAAACCTGTACTTGCAACTGAACAATTTATAATAAAGGAAACAGAAAGAAAAAAACCTACACAGTATTTTCAGGAACTGCACAAAACAAAGGACCACACTTGCCAACCAAGTGTAGCCCTTCCATTGTCGCGTAATATGAGTGGTCCTTTTAACAGTTACTTTGGGCGTTAACAAGAACTTAACAACGCTGTTATTAAGAAGCAGGAAATAGGTACTGTCGCAATACAGGGAATACAGAAAGAAGCCGACGAGCGCCAGAAGGGGGAGATGTTTCCTCTAATGGGCTTCATACTGCCTGCGGTACGACTTCTCGTGGCGGGAAGCTAATAAAAGAAAGATAAACGGTACGAGCCTCCTAAAGGCTGGAGGCTGCTTACACGGGGTCCTCAAACCGACGCCGTAGGCATTTATTTGTATACAATGCCGTTTCAACTTAGGGTGGCGGGACATATTTTAGGAAAGGCGCCCGCTACCCCTTGGCGCCGTCTTTACTTTTCGAGTTAAACGCGGCTTCTGTGGATTGACGGCAGAGCTTTCGCGCGGCTTTGCAGGAGCGAATATGTGTGTGTCGAACGGAACAGAGGCGGGGCTTGCTGGTTTGCAACTGCGCCTTCGAATTCCCTACCTAGGGACATGGGGAAAACGAGCCCTTTCAAAGATGCGACAATACATAAATTAAATAGACAGTGCCTGTGCCCGTTCGAGTGAACACCGACTCCCAAACATCCATGCTGCAGTCGTGATCGGCCTTTAGCCCAGTTGAGATTCGCCGACCGGACAACCGCTCTGCCCCATCATATCTCTGCACCTGTCCTCTCGACCCCGACGAGTGAGCTAACTACCCAGAAACAAGTAAGTGTTCCTTTCATACAGAAAATATCCAGACGAAATGCAATTGAATATAATTTGGAAGGATCCATTGCTGGTTTAAGGTCTTGTCTAAGTTTAAAAGTTATAGTTGCCGAACTGCAACATGCTTTCAGAACTATTCAACAATTATTCACTTTCGTTCTCTCGAGTTGCATCCAGAACACGTGAAAACACGAGTTCGGGTTGGCAATGCCACATGTGCTGCACTCTGGACCTTCCAAATATACGGCGAACAACCGACGAACTTGCCTGGCAGCAATCGTTTCACTCGCTGCGTCAACACTGTTTTGACGCCGCGAGCAGCGTCGCAGCCGCCGGGCCGTTTTTGTCGCTTGTTTGCAACGTACTCGCTCCATTGAAGCTAATAATAATTGGGTTGTGGGGATATTTATACAGCGTGTAGTTGGTCAGCCATTAAAGTTGCGACGAGTCACATGCTGTAGATAAGCAATTGAGCCAGTGCGGTACAACCGCTAGCCTGGGGTCTTTAACGTGCACCACGCAGTAGTGATACACGACCGCACGCCGGTACGATGCTCATCCAGATCGAAATGGGCAGGGGTGGGGCTCGAACCCAGGATCCCTGGGTTCTGCAGCGCG